GCACTCGGGGCAGTGACCCCCAAACTAGATGAGTGGTTGCAACAGATCCCGGGAACAACATCGGACATCTCAGTCCAGAAATGTGCAGTGCTGGGAACATCAAGGATACTGCGCAGAACCCTCAAGCTTCCTGGCCTCTGGTAGAGGACCCGAGCTGAATGGGGGATGGACACCACCCGAGGGGTCAGACGAGGATTGTGTGTGTATATATATATATGTGTGTGTGTGTGTGTGTGTGTGTGTGTATATATATATCTATATATCTATATATACATATAGATATATAGATATATATAGATATATATATATACACACACACACACACACACACACTCGTGTAATATTTAACTTCACGTTCAATACAGTTCCATCCATTTTCAACACCACTTATCCTGAAAAGGGTCAAGGAGGGGCTGCTGGAGCCTATCCCAGTCGACTTCGGGTGGAAGGCGGACTACACCCTGAAACTGATTGCCAGTCATTCGCAGGGCACAACCATTCACGCCCACATCCACACTGTCACTGAATGGTAACAGATGCCATGCTGCCCATACACAAGTCAGGCAAGTCCACCACTACATCATCAGCAACTCTAACAACATTTAATGCTTTTATGAGTGGTAGCGTCATGTGAGGAACATAATTTGTAACCAGAAGCAAACAGGACATGAAAGTGGAAAAAAAAGAGCCCTTGTATCCAAAAATACCAAGTAACCCCATAGAGGAGGGCTGGAGGCAGAAGGCATGGAAGAAAGCTTGGCATTCTGACAACAATGACCAACTCGAGTTCAAATACTGAGAGATGTCAGGCCATGCCCAATCCTATATGAGAAAATAAAGGTGAAAACAAAGGAAGATAGTACCCGTAACAAACAAACCATTTGATCAATGATCTCTTCAAAATCTATTAATTTGAACAACATATTTAGATTATTGGCATTGGTCAGTCAAACAGCAGTATTTTTTCTCATCTAAAAGAAAAAAAGAATTGCAAAATAACTTAAACTTTCACTGCTAAAATGCCTTCATTGTTATGTGTTCCAAATGAAGTTTCATAATTTGCAACTTGTTTCCTGAAGATGCTAATTTCAGTTTTTGGACGTGTAGGATTTTTATCCAATTGCTTAATATGCCATTTTCTATGAAAACTAATGCTAATCCATCTTACCATCTTAAGAATTCCTTTTTTGGGGTTATTTTACAAATGGGCTGTCTGTCACTCAAGCTGTCTTGACCGTTTATTCCATTATGTTGTTGCTATAGAACAAATAGGCCTGTAAGGTTTAGTGACAGGATGAGAAGCGAATTTGGTGTTCACACAATGGCAGAAAGCAAACACAACGATGCTATTTCTGAGATATATATGAATTGGTGAAAATAATGGAATGATTGCAAGCCTTTATCATAAGTATAACTGTATAAAGATGAAACAAGACAAGAATGTTCTGGGCTTAATGAGTAATTAGGATCATTTATGCATTTGTATTGGCCAAATTTTCAGGCCAAAATATTTAAATTGTGCAACTCACAGAATTTTTATGAAGTGGTATTTGTTGTTACCATTCAGCACTTTTGTCTTTACTTTTACAATGGATGCCAAAAATTTTAAATCACTTTTGGAGAATAGGACTTGAAGCATGGTTCTTTCAGTCTATGAGGCATATACGCAAAAAATTTTGGCGATTAAAAAAAAAAAAAAAAAAAAAGGTTTTCCTGGTGTCTTTTCCATTCCAGATCAAATTCTATAAAATTACCCACACTGTATATACAGTTGGTGGAAAAAATGTGAGCCCTTTGGATGTTCTTAATTCGTGCATAGATTTGTCAGAATCTGGAGTCTCATGGTCATCTAAATCAGGAGTTCTTAACCTTTCTGACCTTGGGGCCAAACTATTCCTGTACAAAATAATCTGGGGCCCATTCGGGTAAAACAAACAATGAAGGACCAGTCCTCTTGCGAGCCATTTCACCTGACTGTGATCGAGTATCTCCACATGATCTAATTGCATTTTTTTTACATGGCTGGGCAAAACATCTGGAGTTTCCAGCATTATTTTCAATTAAGTTGATGGGTTTCCAAATTATATGACTTCATGAAGATGTGGTGACATCTTTTTTTTGTTTTGCAGAGCAGACCTTTCTCACTCGAAAAAGAAAATACTGTATCTCACCCAGTTTCACTGCTTGTTTTTGCACATACTACGACAGCCATTCCAACTTAAAAGAACCGCAGTTCATTCTTATTTTGGTTTGGGGAGTCGATGTATCACATTCGCTGCCCGGTCGTTTCGCCATGATGAAGGATTTGCATTAGCGTCACTTATCATCGCCGCACAGTTCTTGTTATGGAGCAGAGAACATGCGCAAGTACTGTCAATGCCGTGATTGGCTGCACAGCGTCATTGCATCCTATCGTGTGATTGGCTGGACACCTGTCACTCACTGAATTACGTAGCAAATTGATACAGAAAAAAAAAGTTACATATCTAATTCATATGCAGTTCGTTCACTGCGGTGGATAGGTTTTCTTGTGCACTGAGAGTGTGCGACCAGTGCGCAGTTGAGCAGCTTAGAGGGAACATTGGTGTCGTTGCATCTCCAGTAAACCTAAATATAAATGAAAGATACCTTTCATTGTATTGCCTCGTGTCAGAAACTTTGCTTGTCTCCAAGCATAAGGCAGTTTTGTAGCTGCTGCTGCTGCTCCCTACCGGTATGGAAGAGTACAACATGATTACTCTTACAGGCGATCGACCGCACAGGCATACATATTGTATAATTTGCCATGGCACACCTGACAATACCAGTGTGCCGCAGCACAGGGTTTGAAAAACACAGTAATGAATGGCCCATTGTCACTCCCAACGTGGCAGCGTCATAAGCACGTCGGTTGCTACAGCGCGCGCATTGAGGCTTCCTATCTGCAGGGACACCCCTCCAATCTCGTGAATGACCACAACCGAGGGCGGGTAAAAAAATATCGGCGGCATGAAACTGGTTCGCCTGTAAAATCCCAGAAATTAGTAATATCACCGTTCAAGCCACAGGGTTCAAAGTGTCGAACAAAAAAAGTAGCCATTTATGGTGCGGAAAATATGTTAATTGTGTGGTGTTACTATTAAGCAAATTATTCGTTTATCATTCTTGTGATTTAGACAAAAACTATGTTTTGTGACTAATTAATGTAGAAATGTAAGATATTCCAAAGGGTTCACATTCTTTTTCCTCCTACTGTACATAGCACAGCCATGGAGAAAACGCCACCAGCCGCTACTGCTTTTTGGACCTGGAAATAAACCTGGCAACAGAATTTTGCACCATTATCTTGGCAAAAAGGTTCATTCTGTCACAGTCACTCACCTTTAGCTTCTGCAGAAACTCCACGATCCCCTTTTGTCATAGAGTTGATGTTCGAAGACATCGACGGTCGCCTTTGGCTGAGAAATCCCCCCGGCTTCATGGGCTGCGGCACTCGTGGCGACTTCACTGTTTCGCTGTTCAATTCATTATCTGTAAGGCTGCCGTCTTGGGAGTCCAGATTGTGATCTGTCGAGCTACTATCTTGAGAGATTTTTAGTGGCTCTTCTATCAGTGTCTTCTTTTTGACTTTCTTCTTCTTTGTTTTTTGCTGTTCCTCCTGTTGACGTGGTTTGACAATGTGGTTAACATTACTCGATTTGCTGAGCAGAATTTGAAACGACATTCATGACCCTTGACTTTACACACCTGATGAGAAAGCTTTGCTGCAGCAGCAGCCAAGCCTGTTTCTATGGAGGCTACGCGAGCTCCTTCTCTCGCAGGCCTTTCCTGTCGAGGAACTGAAGGTCCCACGCGAGCTGCGAGGAGATTGAAATAAAGACTTCAACTACAAAAGAAATATCATGCGAGTCAAATGTTATGGACCAACAGTAATCAAGACCTGTTGGGCTGTATGGAATGTCATCACTGTTTTTCCTTTTTTTGGATCTGGATTTGAAAATGGGATTATCCTCCTCAGACTCCAATGACGGATAAACTGATGAAAGATGCAACATTGGACGTTAAATCATGAGACACGACATTCAAGCAATACAATCGTTTTTACTCTTGTATATTAAAGCATTTCTCAGCCATCTTGTGACCTCTGCGTCCCACGTCCTAGACACATAATTTTCCCGCCAGATGCACAGTTCCAAACAATGTGCGTTTTTGCGATGCAAGGAAATTTCTCAGTCAAAAAAAAAAAAACTACGGTAAATGTTTTTTTCCAGCAACGATCGCAGTTTGACCATCGCCGCCATTGTTGTTTTGATCTCGCGTTAAATAATCTCGCGTGACGAGATTTCCGTTCTCGCGAGACGAGATTGGCGAGATCGGCCTTCACCTCGTGGAAAGCAGACGATTGCAAAGCTGTGTAACGTTAAAACAAGTGTTGCAAAAGTTTATCGCGGAGATATGAACTCAAAGACTCAACTGTGGGATGAAATTAGAACCTATTTCTCAGCAAATCTTGTATGCCTGAGTTATTTAAATGTTTGCAGCATTTGTTTCTAAGAAATAAACCTATTATCAATGTATATTGTTGTTGTTTGTGTTATTATCATATGCAATTGACTAAGTAAATCATTTCAGAATTCGAAATTTGGGACTCTCTAAATGCATAATGGGACTCATACTTTTCTGATCAGCGAGTCCCTGGGACTCGCAGGGCTCAAACTGTAAGATTATCACTGATTTCTTTCTGTTTGATGGCGGTTACTTCAATAGTAGAGGGCAGATTTTTCAACCGTGATTCAAATTCTGTTTTACTGACACTGCTGCTTAAGTGTTCAGGTTTGTGTTTTGCTTGTCGTTGCAATGAACGATTCAACCTATTTCTGAGTTTCAAAAAAAAGAGATTTGCACTGTTCTGAAAATATGTCAACGTTGTAAGTATTGAATTTTTGTACATATATTTGATAAGTGAACAGTGATAAATTACGCCAAAACCTTTGGCCACAGCTGTCCGTTTTCTTTGGCACATGGTGAAATTAAAACACAAGGAGGAATATGTGTTGATTTTGATCCTTACCATAATCGGAGTCTTTAAAGCATGCATCCATGTGATCCTGGTCATCATAATCAAGACTCTCAATGGAGCAACTCTTCTGGGGTTTTTTCAAGTGTTTAGTGGACTGCTTGCTGTTGCTGTTGCGACCAATGCCGACTCCTTTACTGGCCTTCTTAGTCAGTGAGCTGTGCATTTGCCAGATGTTCTTTGACTGACTGTTGTTTCTCGACTGATTGCTGCTCCACTGTTGCTGCAAGTTGTCTGACGACGACAAGTTGGCCATAGACAACATGCCCTGAATGGCCTCTTGTGTGCTCGGAGATGCGGGCGGCTGACTGTAAGTAAGTCAAGGAGACATACACAACAACAACACAGCCATTAAAGAACAGTCACACCTCCGGCAGGGATGAGAAACTTTGAGAAAGCCTTTGAATTCCTTGTAAATATCCCAACTTATGTCATTGAGCACTGTTGTAAGAGTATAGTACTGTACAGTAAAGTTAAGGTGTACCTAAAGTTGTAGGGGAAAAAATACACACAAGGTTTTGAAAACTTTGGCGGAGTTTTGTAGTGACCAGACGCTTTATATTTCATGGAATTTTTACGTCTTGGAAAGTGATGAAATACACTATATATCTTTGAAAATGGCCAATGGACTCTCCGTCGATGGACACAACAAAGCTACAAGTAAACAAAGCAGCCAGCACATCAGACCGAGCTACATCGAGCAACATTTCACTAACCAAGCATTAGACTGGCTATTTTATTGTCAAAAACCTGCTCGATCAGACTGAGTTTAGAGGCAGCAGCGGGTGAAGACTGGATGTGACGATGGGGGAAACCACTGTGTGGAGGAGCAGTCCATGATGATAGACTACAGCAGGCAGCTGTGGTGGCTGCGAGCATGGCTAATCCAGAGGAGCACTACTGACCACAGAGCTGGACTGGCGCACCGCAGACCATTGTTAGGATTTACAATTTAGGTGCCCAATATGAGGTATGTGTAGCGCACAACATTATCAGTGACCTATTGCGTGCACACATTAAAACAATGCAATGCTTTGGTGACTGATCACCCTGTGCACGTGATTGTTTCGGGCGTTTGTGTTTCCGCAGATTGCGCTGGAACACGTGACTCGTTGACCTAATTTAGTTTGCTCACCTAAAGTCAACTCTGCATTGCGTTTAATGTTGGTACATACAATGGAAGCATGCGCTTTGCACGTGGTCACAAATACTGAAAAATGAAGTGATTAATGGTGCAAGAACTCAAAAACATATTGTTAACATAAAAGTGTTTGGTTGAAAAAGTTACAAACTAATAGAAAATATACACTTAATAAAGCAGATAACATGAGGGGAGAAATGAATGAATTTATGACTGATGGTGAAAAAACAGGTGGTAAATGCTCCTGATGAAATGAAAAGGTTGTGTAACGATGTTAAAGATGGACATGATTCATTGAAGGGATTATTGTCTTTTGAAGAGGATGAAAAGCACAAAATATGGTTTAAAACCACAATGATGCCAAAAAAAAAAGATGAGGTTTTCAAATGTCACTTAATGGCTTTCTCACTCTTGTATATTAAAGCATGAATGCAAATACACACAAAGAAAAAATGCAAATGAAAACGATGACAATGAGGAACCCTCTCTTGAAGAAAGCATGCTAAACATAACCAGCAAAAGCAGCCAAAAAAGCAACATTGCTTTATCTGCTGAAGCTAAAGGCAGCAGCAGAAAGAGTTGCAGTGCTGGTTCGTATGAAAGTATTCATAGAGCGACATGCTGTGGAAGGAAAAAGAAGCAAAACTAAGGAGTACAAGTGAGATGCTTGATTTGGAGGCTGAACTGCCAGCATTTGAAACAAGATTGGGCATTGTAAATGAATGAAGACTGTCAGCATATTCAAAAGCAAAGAGTGCACTGAAGAAAAGTCGGTGTTCAAACCCCATCATGAAAATGACCCGTAAACGGCACAAAAAAAAACAGATTAAAAATGCCACAACGGAAAATAAAACAGCGGATGTGAGACGAAAGAAATAGGATGCATCAAACACAAGACAACAGCACCACCTCCTGAAAAACCATGAAAGCAAATGAAACACAACAGGAACACCAGGAACACCTTTTAGTGGGACAAAACAGAAAAGATGTTGAAATAAATCAACTGTCAAAACAAAATGAAACGCAATCTCATTCATTAACTACTCTCCAGGTGCCTGGAGACCTTTTGACCATTATGTGCAGAAAAAAAGAGATTACAGTAGCATTAATGAACTAGCAACACTCAATGACACACCCACCAAGAGACATTCCTATTTTTGATGGCAATCCTCAGCAACTATAGCAGTGTTTTTCAAACTTTTTTGAGCCAAGGCACACTTTTTTCATTGAAAAAAAATCTCGCGGCCCACAACTAGCTGAAAATGTGGCCCCCCCCCCCGCTTATTTTACCAATTAACGTGTTATATTGTTACTATAACCGTTTTTAACATTGAAGAATGATGTTATAACAGCTTGAATTGGAATCAAATGAACACAAACAAAACAGTATTTTATCATCTTTCATATTTATTGTTTCACCGTCATCCTGCATTCATGCGTCACAAATTCGCTTGTCTCTCGTCGAAACACAAGACAATTGGCTAGCTGTTGCTGCTCCCTAGCGGTATGGGAGGGTACTACATGATTACTTTCTGGGCGAAAGACCGCACAGGCATAAAAATTGGATATTTTCCCGCGGCACACCTGACAATGTCTCGCGGCACACCAGTGTGCCGCGGCACACCGGTTGAAAAACACTGAACTATAGAACTTTCATAAAAGCATTTGAACAAGGAGTGAAAAGTAAAGCAACGGCAGCAGACAGTTTGTATTCATTCATTCATTCATTTTCCGAACCGCTTTATCCTCACTAGGGTCGCGGGGGGGGGGGTGCTGGAGCCTATCCCAGCTGTCTTCGGGCAATAGGCGGGGACACCCTGAACCGGTTGCCGGCCAATTGCAGACAGTTTGTATTATTTGGGGCAATTCACCTGAGGCCAACCTCATGAATGGTGCAGAGGTGTCAACACATGGCTTCAAATTGTGGCTGTGCTGTGGCAAAAGGTTTTGCTGTAGGATTGTTTTGGAAATCCTTACAAAACTGCCGCTCCATAAATCAGTAAGGCTCTGTTATGGCAAACAATACGAGCAGAAGACACAGAAGCACTTCATAACTTTGCCCTATTTCTGCTCGTCCTCTCTGTAATATCATGGAAGAGTTGTAGTATGTGCAGGAACAGGATATGCCTGTGAATATGAGGGTAACCGTGGCTATGTTGTGCTATAACTTCGAGAATGCCGGCAAGGCTCACAACATTATGGAGTTCACACGATACAGAGCTGGTTTTGTTGGTGCAATTCATAGAATGGCATGTAAGAATTCTTCCAGAACCATTCTTTGGCAATCTGCATTGCTCGAGCCCTAACTCAACACCATTAAGTCGAGGCAAGTCAGTGCCGGGCAACAGAGTGAGGGGGAATGCAGCGGCTAGCATAGTGACTCCATTAAGCAGCAACGCTCATTCAAAGTTAATGAAACTGGCCGCTGCATTTGCTGCTCAACTGAACAATTGCTGGAAAACTGTAAGCTGTTTCGAAAGAAGAAACACATGGACTAAGTGTTTCGAATTAAAGAAAAGGGGAGTATGTTTGAGCTGCATTTGGCAGGGCCATATTAGCCGTGACCATGGTGCAAGATTGAAATGTGAAATTCGCAAGCAAAACCAACCAACAGCGGAACACATAAATTGACAGAAAACTACTCCACGAAACACCAGAGCTCATTCCCATTTCCCACACAACTTGGGGACATACAGAATATAAAATACTTTGGGTTCATAGTCATAACGGCCATCTGAAGGAAACCATAACTATGATGTTGCCCGTGACAAAAATGAGTTTGACCCCCCCTGATGTACAGTATTACTTGTTTTGCTTTCATGTGGAGGTTCACCTTTGTGGTGCAAACAATGGTTTTTGTGGCTGGCTCACCGCTAAAACTCATTTGCTGTGAGACGTTGGCCCAATGCATGCAGGAGGGTCTCCGGTGAGATGTATAGCTCAATGTCACTGTGTCACGGCTTTGACAGTACTTCAAAATATGTCCGAAAGCGGTCCATAGTGGGAAAAAAAGAGTGGACTGCGGACGACTGCCGTAGAGAACTGTGTGAAGTTAGCTAGCTGATCACAGGGTCCCATACTGCAATTCACAGGTAGGCAATTCATTTTTTGAATGGGCCATGCAACTCAGTTGTGTTAAATATTAATTTAATGTCTTTTTATAAAAATGAAAATTGCAATGTTTTAATAAGCTATCATTGTGTAACCTTGGTATTATTATGCTGTTGGAATTAGGAATAAAAAACAGAGAGAAAAAATGTTTATTCAGTTATGACATCTTCCTGTACACATACAAATGATAAATCTTGCCCAGATATGCCTCAAGTCAAAGTTAATAAAATGTTGCTCCTAACTTCAACAACAGAACGTCGTCATGAAATAATGTTCAATCGCTAATTAAGGTCGCCCAAAATCTCCCCCAAAAACCCAACAACAAAAATCGACTTAATTACACCTGACTGTTGCCAGATATTAGTGGTAAAATCAAAATGTTCCGATTAGGTTTAGGGCAGGGGTCGGCAACCCAAAATGTTGAAAGAGCCATATAGGACAAAAAAAAACAAAAAAACAAATATGTCTGGAGCCGCAAAAAAATAAAAGCCTTCTATAAAATTTACAATGAAGGAAACACATGCTGTTTGTATGTATGAGACTGGACTGTCTCAGAATTGTTTGTTATTCATTCCTTTGATGTGTTTTCACAAACGCCCCCATTGAATTTATTTTGTAATTTCCTCTTTTGTTTTGGTGCATTGTTTTCGCTTTTCTCAGTGTCCGTGAAGTGATAATTAATTTCCGTTTTTCTGAGGCTGTCTTTGAACGCCTCTCAAGTCGAACGTGAAGAGAGAAGGCACGGAGTCGGCCGCAGACGTGTCTGTTTGTCGAGACTGTTAAAAGCATAAATAAAGTGTACGTTTTAAAAAAAACAACATCACAGCTCTCCTTTTTCGGAGCTGCAACATGTATCTTTTTCTATTTGAGCTATATTAGCCTACTATCAAAATCTTTTTCCATTTTCAAACATTTTTTATAAAGCTCCAGGGAGCCACTAGATGTCGCTACAGAGCTGCATGCGGCTCTGGGGCCGCGTGTTGTCGACCCCTGGTTTAGGGTATGACTCAAAAAAAAACATTTTTTGGATGTCTTGAGCAGCTACATATGCTACCT